ATTCGCTGAGGGAAAAAAAATATAAAAAGAAGTGGAACGTGTTAGTAGTTCAGATTTCATTCATTCCCTTTTCTAATATTTATTTTCCTAATATAAACAAACTTACAACCTGGAGTTTAGTATGGGCTAAGGAAAGAAAAGAGCCTGATTGCTTCGTGGAACAGAATCAAACATGTATTTGCCTCCAACACTGGCTTACTCTCATTGAAAATATTTATCCAAACATGACCACATGAATGTTTTCTTACCTCCTACTTTTATCTATGCATCAAAGCCTATGAAATACAGAGACACAGTACCAGGGAGGAAGAGAAAGAGCAAAAGAGATGCCAACACAGTGAATAAATTCCTCTTAATTAATAAATTTCATCACATTAACAATGGCCTAAGCGTAGGAGTGAGCACTTCAGGGAAAAAGCTCTCACATATCTTACTTCAGTATATTTTATATCAAAAACCTGCTCTTTCAATACTCCCTTTCTCAGCCACTTGTGTCAGACTGAATAGACTCAAATCCTCAGAATTATTTCCTTCAGGAAAAGAAATGATGAATCTGTGTAGCAGCGAGAATAGCCTTGTTCTGTTTTAAAAGCTTTCACTCCTACATCATTCATTCTGTTAAGGCTCTCTCACCCAGCTTCTGATCCAGCTGGGAAACTGGAGTTTACAACACCACATTTTATTGGCTTTATGGTTTCTCTGAGTGATCTTATCTGAATCAGCTGCATATTAAGAAACAGAGAAATACACCTCTGCTGCTCTGCCTCACAGAGCAGCTCCTCATCATCGAATATAACCTGTGTTTTTCCATGGTGGATCTGCCAAGAGCCCCTCCACAGGCTGCTTGGGAAAAGGTGGGACAGAAGGAGTGGGCAGCTGTTCCAAGTGAGGCTAGCCTGGTATTAATTTAAAATTTCCTCCATTCAGCTTGAAAGTTCCTGTGCACCTCCATACCTTGGTTAGGAACAATTTTCAGCAGGGAGGAAAACCCTGGATATTCCTTTGAGGATGAAGTTAGGAGTTACAGGCATCGCTGTGCTCTGCTGTTAGTGCAACTTCACAGAGGTGTTTGAGCACCTCCTCCCCTCAGTGCTCTGCTGGGAGATAACCAGGTTCTTGTGGAAGCTGGAAAAATCTGTCCTGATCTGAAGCCTCTGAAAGCCTTTGCTTGCACAGGCTTGGGGAAATAGAACCAGACAGCTGAATTCTTCGTCCCCAGCATGCTCCACTGCTTGGCTTGCAGGCTCTGAGCAAGAGCTCCCTCTCCAGCTGTGCCCCTGACACCCAGAGCAGGGTAAGGCTCTGGCAACTTCACCTGGATGAGAGCAAACTGTCTCCTGTGGCACCAGCCCTGCCAGGTCACCAGGGGGATGAAAAGGGGCTTGAGGGGATGGGAGCCAAACCAGAGCAAGGAGAGTGGTGGGGTAAGATCAGCAACAGGAGCTGAAAATCACAGATCTGGCACAGGATTTTCCTGGGGTAAGAGAGGCTGCTCGCCAGGAAGGAATCTGGGGGGTGCAGGAGGATCAGAGAGTCAGGGCTGTCCGGGGATCCAGGACAGAAAATCCACCCTGGGGTGCTTCAAACACAGAATAAAGAGCTGGCCAAAACCCAGAACTGTTTATTGCTCAGAGCAGCTGTGGCTGCCCCTGGAGCCCTGGAAATGTCCCAGCCAGGGCTTGGAGCAGCCTGGGAGAGTGGAAGGTGACCCTGCCCATGGCAGGGGTGGAGCTGGTGGTTTTTAAGGTCCCTCCCTACAAAAGCCACCGCTGTGCCACTGCAGGGTGGCTGTGCCACAAATACAGCAGAGAACTGCACATTTTGAGTGTGACATCAAAGATCTACGGTGCAAAATGTGTCTCAAAAGCAATCTGAAGTTTGAGTAGGACTCAAAAGATGATTATTCAAAAATCCAATTAAAACTTTATCCTTTGCCTAAAGGCATCCTCTTAACTCCAACATAACTTGTTAGGAGAACTTTAGTTGCAGTAAAAATATGAAATTTCAAAGCCATCTCATCGGGAGAATATTCTCTGTAAAAATAACACAACAACATTTATTTTAAAAATTTAAGCAAACATAATTTAAATATTTAAATTGCATTTTAAATACCGTTCTGGAACATGAAGTCTATCTAAGTATAATCTTAGGTACAGACTGTAACAATGTAATGGTTTTTTTTTTTTCCCCTATTTAAAGTTCTGGCATCATTTCCTTTTCTTTTGTAATTAGGCAGAAACATGTCATTTTAATTCTCAATCTTTTTCCACCACTCCCCTCAACACTCCCAAGTTTTGACTCTGGTTAAGACTCAGTAAATAATTCCAATCTAATTCCCAGCAGCTGGGTTAATGAATTGTCTGGTTTAAAAGTCACATTTAGCAGAGAATTTTACAAATCTGTTTCAGTAAATGAGTTACTTTAATTTTCCTTCCTACTTTTCATTCTTTAAAAAGAAAAAAAGGCCTATTAGCTTAAACAACTTAGCAAAAATTACTTTTTTCTTGCCATTTCTTAAAATGGAAACAGAATATCTTTTATTTCCTCATCATCTGACCAGGTACTGCTTAATTTCTCTCTTTCAGCTACAGCTTCTGCCTTCCAGAGATTATCTTTGTTAATTATGCCCACAATTAAGAGATAATAAAGAGGAAGAGATGGATATTGATTAGTGTTACACATAATATAAAACACCATGCTACCTTTTCAATATTGTTGCAGTGAGCTAATGCATCCTGCAGGCAATTATGGCACCTCCAGGAACAGCCACGTGGAGAAAAAACCACAGAAATCTGCATTTGCCCGTGTTTATTGTAAGCTTTAACCTGCTTTTAGGTTTAGTTACCTTTGTAATTGTTTTTGGGCAGTGTAAGAAAAGGGGAAGCAAGGCTTTCACGAGATGTAAGTGGGCTTGCAAAAGATGTGTCACAAGATATGATTGCTGCTGCAAAATGCGTATCCAAGGCAGCAGAAGTGGGGAGCAGAATAGCATGAGAGGAAAAGCACCAAGCCTCAGACAACCATCACAAGAGGCTGAGGAATCGCACTGCCCTTACCTTACTCTCTCTAAAACACTTTTGCACCCTTTTCCCCAGTAACTAAACTCCAGAGATACACGTGGAAAGTCTGTCTGCTTCGAGCACTCCTGTATTTCAGCAGAACTCTGGGATGGCTCAGAGGCACCTGCAAGGGAACTGAAAAGCGAGCAGCCCCCAGCCAGGCGCTGTTTTGCCTCTCATTGCTGAGCCAGGGCACATCTCAGAGCACAGGTCCCACTCAACCCCACACAACTGCACTACGGGAGGCCCCGCTCCTGGGACGAGAAAAACAGCCTGAGTTGATCATAAACAAGCCAAAGTGACAAAGCAACATAATTTCTATTGATTTGCTTTCAGAGGCAGGATGCAGCTGTGAAACTGAGATGCTTTTCTATGCAGCCCATTCCAGCACAGCAGCTCCCACTGCTCGCTGAGGAAAGCAGCCTCTCCTTTTTCCTCTCCACACTCTGACAGAGGGTGTTCTTTCACATCCTCTGCTCCTCAGAAATGGCACTGCAGTGGCACTGACAGGGACAGAAAGGAACTGGACGTCTCTCTGCTTTCATTGTTGTGCAGACTCCCTGTGAGAGTACAATCCTCTCCAGGGATGGTTATTGTCCTGGTAAGTAGCGCAGATGGTGAATATTTAATTTTTTTCTCCTCAGCATCTTTCATGCTAAAATCTCTCTTTAGTAACAAGCTGGAAAATCCATCAGAAAAGGCAAAATCAATGGCCAGTCAAAAAAAACTAATAGCACTTAGCAGCTGATGGCTTTTATGGGCAGCCTGTCCCACCTTCACATCCAAACGATCCTTCTGCACTCACACTGGTGCCGTGATTGTGACACAGAGCTCGCTGCAGGAGCTTTGGCCTCACATTGCTAACTTATCAATGGAACAGATGATGTGACCTCAGAAAGCACCACACAACCAACAACCACAACTGCTGAAAAGGAAACAACTCTGCACGTGCTGAGGTTCTGATGGAGACCAGATGTCACCTAACAAATGTACCCATCCACAAGAGCTCCAGGAAGAGGCTGCTGCAGCTTTGCGACCTCCTCCTCAGCCCCACACCACAACTCCTGGGAATACCAGCAGATTAAACTGGCTGCTGATGCGTTGGTGACTGGTTAATTCAACATCCAGAGAAAGGTGGCACCTGCACGAGGCGGCAGGGACAGACCTGATGGAGACTGCCCAACCGCGTGGGTCAGCGGCTGAGAAACCGGTCCTGAAGCCACAGGTGGGAACTTGTTTGCCACGGCCCAATGCCAGCATCCATCCTCCTGAAGATTGGTAGGAATGAAAATGGAGAGAAGCCTGCCTCCCTTGAGCTGTGCCAGATCTTTCTGTGTCGGTCCCAGGCAGGCCTGGGCAATAACTGAAGTGTTAACGAAGCATTAGCAGCTTTGCTCTTCCTCCCTCATAAGCTACTATCATTTCATGTCACTGAACCAATTCTCATACAATTGTCTGAGGCTCCAAGTGGAAAAAACTCATTATCCTTCGAGTCCAGCTATTAAGAATATGGGATTATGTTGTATTTCCATCTGCAATACAGCAGAAGCATTAGCTTTTTCTGAACTATGGCCAGGAGGATGCAGATTTAATTGCCCTCACAGCTCCTCCTGCTTCAAAATAAAACCATCTTTCAAAACCACTGCATTTTCAGAACTCCTTCAACTTGAAGTGACCTGGTTCCTTCAAACCTGAAGAGCTGAACAAGGAGAGTTCTCTTGCTCTATTCCTGCCAGCCAGGAATGGCTTGCATGGTTTATACAAGCAGATAAATTTCACCTTGAAACCTGAATTCTAAGGCATTTGAGAAAGCTAAGAAAGCCCAAGAGAATGGATCCTACCCCTGGTCCCTGGTAAAAACAGGAGTGTCCTGCAGTAACTGTTATCAAGGAGGTAACAAGTAAACTAAGTGAAAGAGGGGAGATGCTGAAATCCACATTGTTTAATGAGAAAGTTTGTTTTATTGGTTTATAAATCCCACCTACCTCTTTATTAAAAAAGCTCTTTATCAACTTAAAACATTACTAGAGCCGAAATATAATATACATAATTAGAAACTCCTCATCTGATTCCCAAATAACAGTCTGGCTTGTTCTCCTCCCCTATTTGAAGGCTTCCTTATTGCTCATTAAATTTTAGCAGCCAAAACACGCCAATATAACATAACATACCTGCTGTACTGAGATCCTGATTTTTTTTGATTAGTGCAAGGCTTTTCCACACTGCATCAAAGCAAGGATTCAGTGAGTTTTAGCTTGAAAAATGAAAATACCAGGAAGCTTTACATGAGATTTTTTTGTGCAGAAGACAGATATTGTAGAAATAAAACTGCAGATTTCTGTTTTGATAATGTATTTGACCCAAAATTTACCTTTATTCCAGGTACTTTGGTTCTGAACAATCTATAGCAGCATTTTGACAGAGAAGTGCAGCTCCCTTCAAAGACAGCTTATACAATTTATATTACCAACAGAATAACGTTGGCTCGGGTATTTTCCATTCAAGCTACCCCTGGGCTGTAACTGATGAAGAGGATTTCACTCTCCATTAACACAACTCCAGCCCCTCTGCACACACCAGAGGTGATTCAACCAGGTTGAGTACACAGCCACATCAGCAAGACCCTGCTAACCCAGGGAACTCGGAGCACATTTGTCCTAGGGGGTACATTCTGATTTAAGTGAAGAAGTGCAGATGATTACAGCTCTTTACAGTCAGGATCGTTCACTCTGAGTGTTCATGGTACGTAGCTACAGCTTGCTGTTCTGCTGGAACTGGGACACCAAGGCCAGCACCTGCTCGGAGGCTCTGACCTGCTTGGAGCCCAGGTACAGGGCACTGTTGGAGGCTGTCTCCTCCAGGAAATATCTGTAGTTGACCATCATGCCACAGGAGGCCCCGATGCCCCGGGGGCTGGTGTCCCCCATCCAGTTTATCCTCCAGAGCACAGAGCCGTTCTGCAGGTGGAAATTGGCCACTGGGTTGAGGGCGTAGCCTCGGTGCTTCTCCCCATACAAGTACCAGGCACAGAGTCTCATCAGGGGGGAGCGCAGCACCTGAACCAGCTTCTCTGACCTCACCCACTCGTTGGTGTTCAACAGCTTCTTCAAGGTTTCGCTGCTGGAGTCTCCCGTGATCTCAGAGATTTCCTGCCATTCCGACTCTGTAAAAAGTTCATTCCTTCCCTGTTCTTTAGTCTGGGAGGAGATGAGACCAACGAGCCATTTTGTGAATCCTGGGATAGGTGAAAGTGTGGAAAAAGCTTTTATCTGAGGAAGTTCCTTCTGCAGACAAAAGGAGAGAAAAAATAAACCGTGAGTTTGGTCATGATTGACACAGAGAAGTTTGAGCGAAAGGGCAGCTGATGGCCTTTGCTTTTTGGCAGGTGAAGATCAGGAAACCTGAAAAGGAACACATGAACACACAAAAAAAGGTAAAAAATTCCCCTGGCAGTAGCAGGTTAGTGATGAGAAGGCACTGGGAGCACGCAGGAAATTTTAAAGCTGACTGAATGCCATTCCTCACACACCATCGCTATAAAAGTACTTTTGCAGTACTTACCACCACAGGGTTCTGCTATTATCCTTTTACAGGCAGAAATAAACAAACAAAATCACAGGCCATAAAGAAGTGATTCTGAAGAATATTTCTTTTAAACAGACATGCAAGTTTTGAAAGCCACTTAAATACTATTTATTTTCATATGTAACCATCTTTTTTTTTAAATCAAGGGCAGTTTATTATTTCAGTCTATTGTAGAATCATGAGGTACTATTTGTAGATTTTTATGGAAAGAAGTATTTCCTGAAGTTTTGAATGAAGTTCTTTATACAGACCAGCTACCTTTCATGCTATTCCCTAAACCAGCAAGAAATACACACCATGTGAGTATTTTTTTTATTGCAACTATAATACTTGTTTTAACCATGCAAAATTTCTTCTGTACTCCTGCTAATTTCTGATTAAACCTTACTAACTATGAAATCATGTAAAGCAAAACATGCATAAGGAAAACCGTGTTAGTTTTGGGGCTCGCAAGCATGAAGACTAAACTCACTGTCACTTGGAATGAATACAGAATCCATCAGGTAACCCTCCTGGAGGAGCGGGGGGCAAAGGAACAGAGCTGAGCTGAAACCACCCCAGTGCTGATTTAATTACTGTTCCAACAGCAGAAATGATAAGAACCAAGACATTCATCAACATTACAGATGCATCTTAATTTCAGCAGAAAATTGTCTTTAAATGACTACAAACGGCACTTTTTCTAGCTGGAGGATTACCGAGGTAAGCATTAAAAAGCCATCAGGGCTCAGCCGGTGCTGCCGGGCTGTGTGAGCACGCACAGCTGCCATCTGCAGCCTGCTCCGGGAGGGCGCAGGGCCAGCAGTGCTGGGCTGAGCACCGGCTCTGGTACAACCAAACCTTCTCCCTCTTCCCCAGATGTCCCTGCTGGGCTGGGCCTGCCAGCGCTGTGCTCTGCTGTTTGGTGCCACAGCTGGAGCACCTGCAGAAAATCACTGCCTGCCCTGAGCTGAAGCTCTCTGACTGTTATTTAGACATGTCAGCCTAAGAATTCTTCTGGGACCAGGCAGGGACAAGAAAAGCAGATCAAGTTACACCTGATCAAAGAAACACCTCATTTCATCTCCTTAGAGAACCAAGTCAAGAAAACCAAGCTAATTATTTCCTAAAAACACTCAGTTCTGTATCTTACTGAACAAAACACCATTTTTGTAATCAGAGCTCCCAGGAGGTCATTGTCATGCTCACAACTGCTACAACTACCACACTCAGAAAGTGAAATTCTGGTAAAGAAGCAGAAACCAGTAAAGTAGAAACCTTTTTCAAGTTTCCACTAAAGGACATAGTGATATTTTTTTTTTAAGATTAATTCCAAAGCTGATGTCTTCTGTGAAATCCAACTATGAGGTTTCCTTGCACATGAATTTCATAAAATAAAGAAGTTTCTTTACAGACATCTCTTACACCTTCTGTTTTTCTCCTGAACAGAGCTAACAAGGTTCTCACTCGGGAGCTGAGCTGTGTCTATTGCTTCCATAGGGTAACAATTCCAATCTCATTTCCCAGCCTGCAGAGCCCGAGGGCACCTGTGCACCACCCACGATGACAAAAGGGAGAATGAATTATTTCTTCCCTCTCCATGTGGTAATAACAAACACTGCAAAGTTCTTAATTAAATAAATAACTGACACGGATTGCTGGGGACTGCTCCTTGCTTATCACCGCTTTCAGGAGTGACCTGTTCACCAACACAGTCCCAAAGACTTCACAGGAGGTTACCAGCTCTTACTCTATTAAAAACAAAATGGGAAATCGTGAGTTTTTTACTTCTCAGGACAGATAAGACACGGGAAAGTGACCCCATCTTGAAGGTACAGTACCAACTACTACACATCTGATAAAAGTTTTATTTAGAAGCTTATCTGAGGCATCCATTTCTCATGGAAAAATAAATAAATTCACTGGTTATGTTTTGCTAAATTGATGTGCTGGTTTCTAAGGCTACTGGTGGAGATACATTAATATTTACTTTCCTGTCAGAAACCCACACACCATTAAGAAACAGCTGCTAGTTTTGCTTCGGGGTAGATTTCTGTGTTTGATTGCTGCTTTTTGTTGTTGTTTTCTTTTTTCTTCCCTTGCAGAGGAGCACAGATTTCTCCCATTATCCATATCTTATCTGAAACTGTCTTGCACTCTGAAAGCTGCAGTCCAAGGTCACATTTTTCATCAATGAAATCAAAGCCTGTTTTGGAAATTATAATCTCCCCAGGTCACCTAGATCAAATTAAGGTAGCAATTATCAACAGCCCAAGCAGAAAGCTAAAATCTGCCACCAATTGTTGAGCATTCTATTGAGTCCACAGCAGCTATCAGTTTTCTCCCTCAAATGCCACAGGCTATAAAATCCTAAGCAGTTTTCTCAAAGGCTTCAGCACAGCTATCTGTGTCTGTCATCTGCTGACTGAATTGCCACCATGTACCTTCTGCAGAGCCACAGACTGTTTAGAGTGGCTATAAACACATTGGGAATTAAATGTCTGGCTAATGAGAAATCCATCCACCTCCTCGTTCACCAGCACCTATCAGCTTGCTAGAAATTATCTGCCTGCACTCATTTTGGGGTTTGTTTGTTTTTTTGTAGTTGTCTGAAATAGTTTCAAAATCTAATTCATTTCTGGGAACAAAGCAAGCTTCAATTTCAGCAATACAAGAGATCATTTTTGTTGCCTGCTCCCTGCTTTATATATATTAATATAAACAAGAGACTGCAGGGAATGCCTACACAGCCTATTCCCAGATTTGTACAGGGAGCACTGGGATCAAAGTGGTATCACTGGCCTAATGAATTCATCCCAAAATAATCCCAACAGGATATGCTGAGAAAAAACAGAAGCCTGTACACAAACCCCTTCTATATTATCTGTGTAATCTGTGTAAAGCAAACTTTTGTCAAGAAATTGCCAAAAACTGAAAAATCTGCTCCTGAGAGCAGCACAATTTCTCCCAGGATGCCCCTTGTAGGAGACACCAGGTCCAATTCTGATCTCCAGAATATCCCCCACCTTTACCCAATTGTACAGAACAATTCCTGTGGCAAATGCCAAATCTTAATGTCCAGGTAAATGTTAAGGATTCCAACTGCAGAGGAAACTGAGGACCCCATTTTGTGCCTCAGTTTCACCCACCCTCCATCTGCTTAAATTAGTGACACCCAAAAGCAGCATCAAGTTGTACCCAGTGCCTCAAACTAACAGTGCTCAGCACTGGGATGTGAAATCCTCACCAGTTTTCCCAATGCAAGGAATATTTCAGGAGGGAATTGGTGCTTGGCATCCTCTGAAAGTGAGAAGTGCTGCCCCACACATGCTCATGTTTAGCAGAGTATGTGACCAGTTCAGGCAGATTAGCAAGATTTATAAAAAATTAAATTCTATTTTAATTGTGTATTAATGATATATTAAGGAGTATGGTACTAACTGGATTTACAGCCATCATTTTCTAGTTCAGATCAGGGTTTCAGTGCAGCTTTTTTTGAAATCCTGTCCGATGAAGGCTTCGATGCAGAGGGGTTCTCAGCACACTCCTAACTCTGTGCATGCCTTTTCCTGACCTAATGATACACATTCATTGCAGGTCCAATTTGGAGTTTTTCTCATCGACAGCTGGGATTTCAGTTTGCAGGTTACAGTGGCACTTACAAGTAGAAGTGTCAGAGCACGTTACACTAAGGTACAAGTCAGGTAGAGGATTTTTACTGGAGGATAAAAGAAGTTCTGAGAGCTTGCAGCACTTTGGGACAGCACAACTCAGAATTCTGCAGATCAAACAGATGTCCACCAAAGTTAACTCAAATGGCAAGTTATAAAAGTGTCTTAATCATCAGTTTAAATAAAATGAAAAACAAAATCCTCGACCCTTCCAAATGGTCTCCTCTTCCCAATGCATTTTATTACCAGTTAAATTAAAGACAGTCTCAACTTCTGTAACCTGGAACACTTGGTGATTTAGCAGCACTTGAAAAAAAGATTTGTTTATTGCAAAGCCATGTAAAGGTGATACAAAAAATCCTTTTCCTATCAGAGACCTCACCCATCTGTTTTTACAAAAGCTGCTGGAGGCTGGCTTAATGAGATGTAATTTTTGACCCAGAATTTTTTTGCTGAGGCTGGATTGTTTCAGCTGCTGTCACCAAGTCCACTCAGCACTCCTGTACACCATTTATCCCTCCTGAAGTGACTGTAATGCTGCTCCCAAGAATTATGTCCAACCTGAATACAGACAACCTTGGCAAGTCCTTTGCTTGCACCTGAGCAGAGAGAAAGAGCGCACATGTGTGCAATTCATCCACAGGAAAAGGACTTCCAGAATTTTGGGAGCCAAGCAGAACAGGCTGCCAGGAGTATTTATTCACTGCATGCCCTGCCTTTGCCCTGAACAACCCTGACCTTGTAAAAATTCCACAGTGGAAGTATTTTGAAGCTGAAATACAGAGGGCTTCTCTCCTCTGAGGGGTGAAGTCCACTGAGATGGGAGGCACAGCAAGGAGGCCTTGTAGAAGAGCATCAAAAATTGTAGGAACCACAGGACAATGATTCAGGGTCACTTCACAGATGTGAAACACGCAGTGGGAGATGGTTCTTGCACCATTCAAGACAAATTTGAGGACAATACTTTGGAATGAAGGCGGAGAAAGCATGAAGGAGTGGAAAGAACAGGAGAGAGAAAAATATTAACATCAAAGAGTGAAGAAAAAACTATTAGAGAGCCACATCCACAATGGATAAATATTCCTGGATTATCCTTTCTGTCTTCTTTAGCCCTAGAGCAGTTCCCTTCCAAACAGGAATGGTGTAGGGGCAAGGCATGGAGGCTGTTGTACTTTTAATCTATGCACACAGACTATATATAAACACCTCAGCCCATGTCCAATTTGTCACACAACAATTTCCTGCCAGCACGGTTTTCACAACAGCTTTAAGTGTAGGAAATTTCAGTAGAAGGAAGATCTCCACCTTTGGCATTGCATGGCAAGCACTCAAGTTCTCAATATTAAAGAGGTAGTTTAAGACTGAGGGATTAATTTTATGATTAAAATGTATTTAAAGGCATCTCGGCAAAGGGTTTCAGTGATAAACACTGAAGAGGGGCTGGGTTTTAAACACTGCAATGTAAAAACTTTACCATAAGTATAAATACAAAACACACTCTTCTGCTGGACACACCAAATTTTACAACTTGCATTAGGTTATCTAAGCATGATGTGTCTGTTTGTCTTTAGAACTCACAACTTTGCTGGTGTTGCAAGCAGTTAGTGATGGACAGATACAATGTCAATAGGGTTATTTTATGAGAGCAACTCAATTATCCAGGAATTATTTTTCAGATGTGAAAGCAGATAACTGCATGAATTTATTCCAATTTCCCCTCAGTCAAGATCAGACAGATGGCATGGCCTAATTATACCTGGACTACTACACTTTCAACAATTAATCTAAAAGCCATTCCAAAAGCAAGAAGCAACAAAATTCAGCCAAAATATCCATTAAAAATAAAACAAAAAAACAAAAAAAACAAAAAAACAAAAAACAACTTCAGGGTAGCCAGCTATGATTCAGCAATTAAATAATCTATCACTTTCTGGCAGTAGAGCTTTGGAGCATCCAATTTTAAGATATTTTTGTAAGTAGAATTGAAGTTCTAAATCACAGGCAGTTTTCCAGACATCGTTACTAATCCAGATGTGAAACAATGAATATAAACACAAGCAGTGATCATTACTTTTAAGTGGTAGCTTTGTCAGCAATTTAAGCAGTAAAGACTTATATTAAATAAAATAATGTACTCAGAGCAGGAATGTGATTCTCTCTTTCACACCACTCTGTAAATTAATTTTCATTCCTTTCTCCAGTTGCTTGGAAGAAGGTTCTCCAAATACTAAAGCTATTAACAATAATCCCTTAGCATGCAATGATATTATCTAAATTCAGAGAACTGACTGGCAGAAAGTAAAAGACTCTTTTAAGAGATTTTGTTTACTATATTGCAAGACATACCTGGGCAAAGAAATCTTTCTCCTTTTTATTTTTCTCAATGGATGTATTCAGGGCACGCACACTGCATAAATAACCAGTGGCAATTCAATATTACAAACAAAACAATGAACTAATTAGTGAACAGGAAGTGTTTTGGTTCCTGGAGCAGCTGTAAGATTTTGGAAAAGGCACTGTCAGGTACTTTGAAGAGAGACTATCTTGATCAGGCTCTTCCCACTCAGCTGAGAGGCAAGAGTGAATTGGATCAGAGCAGAAAACAGATGTTTCAAAGCCACCTCCAGCAGAAATGTTCTCATTTGACTTCAGGCAACCACACAAGGAGTTCACACAGAACTTGTCAGCTGTGGAACAGAATCTACATCTGGCAGACACCAACCAAGAGCAGGAAATGCTCTTCCAGCTCTCCACATCTCCAAAGGCTGCTCTGGGAAGAAGTTCCAAGTGAAGGGGAAGCCCCAGCTTCCTGGGCTGAGTAGTGACATGAATTGGGAACTAAACCATTTTGCTGTGCAAACAAACCCTGAGCCCCCCTGCCACACCCACCTGCAGCTCTCTGACAACTCTTTTGATGAGGTGAGTCCCGAGTTCCACCCCTTGCAGGCCCTGCTGAGTCAAACTGATGGAGTAGAAAATTGCTGTTGTGATTTTGTCTGGATCTTCTGTCTCTAAAGGAGGCACTTCTTTCACTATGGCCTGGGAAAATAAGGATTAAAAATAAAAAATGTTACTAATAGTTACTATCATCATTAAAGGGAGGTTTTTCTTTTTAACTTTTAAATGCATTAACACTTTTCCCCGCTGTTTTATTCATTGACAACAAAAGTCTATGAAAAAGTAGGAAGAGCTGCTTATTCATTAGTAAGTGGAGGAAAAAGCTGTAACATGGTTTAAAGTTTTCAGAAGTAATTGCAACCACTTTGAAATTTTTGTCTCATTTTCTCTATATATTTCTTATTTCTCTATATATTTCTTATATTTTCTTATTCTTCTTGCTCTTGAGCAAACCCTCAAAATTTCAATTTACATAATATACCAAACCAGAATATTATAAAACAAAAAATATCCCTGTAATTTTTACATGCCAATTCTCTCCTCTCTTAAAAGATGAAAACAAAAGCAAATATTGCCAAATGACAGGGAATTGTGGATTTTTAAATAAGCCCACTGCAATTTGGGCGCTTTGCTGTGTACCAAATGCCTGAGTGGCTGTACCTGGATGCTGCTGGAGATGTCACTGGTTAGTGCCACGTGCAGGACAATCAGTGGCTCTCCTGGGATGGCACAGTGAGAAAAGAAGTAGCACCTTCTATAGGCCCCAACTCGACGCTTCATATCAACCCAGTTTCTGACAGGGTGCACAGCTTCAGAACTCAAGGAGAAAATGTAAAAATAAAATTACTACTATTATTGATTTATTATCATTATTATTATCATCATCATCATTGTCATTATCAGTGTCATTGTTATTATTATTTAATTTAAAATAGAGGTCATCTGCCCTACAAGTCCAGTGCTTTTCCCACTGAGGTCAGTGACAAAACCTTCCAATCAAAAAAAAAAGAATCAGGCTGTGAACAAAGTAAAATTGTCAGCAAGCTGTGACAAAGTGGATTGTAAAGGAATATTGCATATCCACTCATTAGTGTGTTTGCCAAATTACCTTGAAGATTAATTAAATATTACTAATTCTTTTTATTTGGAAAATTCAGGTTGTCCAAGATGTCTTTGCCTCATTAACACTCACATAACATACTTTCAGAACATTCTAGAAATTATTTTTTCATCAAGATTTTATACAACAAGGTGGCCCAGCACATAATTCAGTAGTTTTCAACTTCATCACAACTTTGACCATTTGACAGAAATTCAGCAGTCAATGTTGTAGGTTCAGAAATCAGATTGAGATGGACTGTAGAGCACATGGTACAAAAACCAAGGTGCTCTCTTCACATGTACTTTACAAGTGACCCTCTGCACCTCACCAGTTCCAGCCAAAACCACTGCAGAACCTCTGGGAAAGTGGGAAGGGTAACTGAGAAAGTTGGAAGGAAAGACAGCACTCTACCAGCGCAGAGTGGGAGCTACAGGATCAAACTATGGCACAAATCATCACCTTTATTCTTTACTTCAATCTGTTTTTAAAATTGGGCTCTACAGCGTGCTAATGAAAATATTTCCTGATCATACTTTGCCTTCAGCTCAGAAAAGCAGAGTCTTGAAAACACAGAATTTCTGCAGTCTCAAGCATTCCATCTCCTCTTCATCAGGGACTCCTCCCAGCCTCCAGCACTTACTCACTGATTTTCTGGAGTACTTCACAAGGGGATTGCCATGTGACCCGTTCCAGGTTGAGGAATCCTGTGCAGAACCACTCGGAGAGCATGTTCTTGAGAACTCCATTCATCTCCTGCCAACAGAACCGAGATGGAACCGGCTGCTGAATAAGCAAGGTACAACATGGAAATGTGAGTAAAGATAACCTTGACTGACTCCTTAGGGATCTGCTTGAGAAGATTAATCAGGAAATAGTCCAGGACTGAACCAAGGAAAATCCTTGAAGGGACTGTCTGTAGTGCAAGCAGGGACAGGGAAGAGAAGGCAAAACACTGTGGACAAAAAGCACACAATGGGGAGGTTTTGAGCAGATTTGACCACCATGCTGCAGTTACACAGTAGCCCAGAATTCAATACCATGGAAATACCTTTCAACAGGATGCAGACAGAATTTTTCTTCTCTAAAAACATGAAAATATTTGAGCAAGAAAAATAAAACCCAGCAGCATAAGACTACAGAACTGAAAAATCAAATCAACTTTGGAACAGTATGAGAGATGAAACCCAACTGTAATGTCAAACGCTTTCAGAAACATTCATTGTAATAGTGATTTTTATATACCACTTTCCAGCTGCCTGTATTATTAAAGATTTCCTGTCTAAATTTATTTGAATTTAACAAGTATTCTTGAACTCAGCACAGCATGATTATCCCTAAAAGAGATTCCAGAGCTCATTTTTCTTTCTTCCATTTGCCTTGTACACAAGACACAGTGTGAGACCAGCACCAACTTACCAACAGCCTTATCAGATGGGTTTGCCTGAAACTAACTTAATAACCATTTATTTCAAAACAAAACTCTTCATCTTCTATTCAAACCTTTATTAAATAGCTACTGCTGGACGTAAGAGAGAAAAATTAAGTTCCAATGTACTTTAGCTTACCACATTAAAGAAAAACAATTGGAAAAAATATATAAATCTAATCAGAAAATTTAAAATATTTTTCTTAAGTTCAGATGTAGTCTCAGGACTGTCATAGAAAGCAAAAATATTTCCTATTATAACCTAATCAAGATGAAAGTTGCAGAGGCACTTGTCAAAAGACACACATCAAAGGTTTCTGCTGGCCAAAATAACTGCTACAAGTAGTCCAAAACTGAATAAGAGGACAGGTTTATTTCTTAACATACTAGAAAAAACCAAACAATTTCAAATCCAGAAGAAACAGTTATTCATCTGCATAGAACAATTTGGTCCTCCATGACAATTTTTTTTCAATACCTTTTTACTAAACAAATAAATTCTGATTGGTATGTTTATTCTGACTTTAAGATACCTCCCTTGTGAATCCTTTCTGCACAGCTCTGAAGTTTTTCCATAATACCATGAATCACTTTAGTCAAATATCCTATGGTGTAGTGGAGGTCTCCAGGCACCCCAGGATTGTTTGGTTTGTTTTCTTTTGTAGGGGCACACTGTAAACCAGAAAAAGGAGCTGGATTTGTCAGATGTGGGGGCAGAGGAACAGGTTCTTACGTCTCTCTTGCCATCCATGTGCCTTTTGAGCAGCATTTCAGCTGCAGCGCAGCAGGCAGAGGGGGAACAGGATGGCAGAGCCAGTAACCAGGCTCACACAGCACATCCTGCATGGAAACAGAGTGGGAAGCACTCCAAACTGCTGCAGCTTTGCTCCTCTGAAGGTTCAGCAAGGGATGCCAATGGAACTGGAGCCTGTTTCCATTACAGCACTACTGTGCAGGCCCGGGGTGTGGCTGAAGCAACAGCTGTAACCGAACAAGGTGGAGCAGATGTGCTTTCAGTAATGATTTGGGGAGAAAGAAATATTGTTTATGGGGAATTACAACCCAACCAACCTGTCAGTTGTGAATAAGAAGGTTTTATAAAACAACAGTGCAGGAATTTGAAGGGCTCCAGGTGGAAGGGACCAGCCACCATCATCGAGTCCAACCCCAGCTGGGCCTGCAGCAACGGGACAGGGGGGAATGGCTTCAGATTGAAAGAGAGCAGGTTGAGATGGGATATGAGGAATGAATTGTTCCCTGTGAGGATGGGGAGGCCCTGGCACATGTTCCCCAGAGAGGCTGTGGTTTCCCCATCCCTGGCAGTGCCCAAGGCCAGCTTGGACAGCGCTTGGAGCAGCCTGGGACAGTGGGAGGTGTCCCTGCCCATGGTGTGGGGTGGAACTGGATGGGCTTTAAGGTCCCTTCAACCCAAACCTTTCCAGGATTCCATGATGCTGTGCTGACAAAACTTTTCAGTGCAGAAAGACATAGAAGTTTTCACTATCCAAAACTTTAATTCAAGTCACCTGAACAAGATTCTGACTTGTGTTTAATATTTCATTATACAGGACATTTCCAAAAAGCTTCAACAAGGACAGGCTCAAGTTTGGGTTCCTTATTTTTCAGATTTAGTGGCAGATTCTCTTATTTTGTAAATTTAATTCTTATTTTCATTTCAGAGGCCTTTTTAGTCATAAAAATTATATCTGCAAGACTTCATTAAAAAGAAAAGCAAGCACATTCATTATTCAGCATCCCAGTCCTAAATCTGAGCAACAAGACATACTCAGATTAGTATTTCAAATTACCAGCTATACTTCAATTTCTATTAGCCAAGTCTAATAAATTGTGGTTATTTTTTTCCTGTTCCGTGCTCTTGCTACGAGACAGCAAATTACAGCCTATTTAATCTTCATATCAAGTACCTATTTCTTGGGCAACAAATGGGAAAACTCTTATTAAAATCTCCAATTAATTATTTTTTATTAAGAAGAAATGCCTTGCTCATGAGGAAACTATTTCTCTTTCCCTCTTGAGCTACTAAATAAAATACCACTCACAAGAGTTGAGTTTTCCCATGGTTTTGGAATATTTGAAGTTTTCAACTTTTTACTTCATTTGGCACTTACAGATCTACTCTGATATTGCCAAATATTTGAAGGTGCCTGTGCTGGGCAGGTTGATTTAGTTTGGTTTTGGTGGGTCAATTTTTTTTCTGTTGGGTTTTTTTTTTTCCCCCACAAATTACCTTCAGAATCTACATAGAGAATATCTCTGGTAAGATAATGGATAAATATCCCCACCAGCAACACAAGGATTCAATAGTGACACAAATTATAGGTTTCTGATTTTTTATTGCTAATAGTAATTACTGCAGTGATAATGGCAGTGCTAAAATCTCTTCTGGCTCTTATTTATATTGGTTTATATTATGGGACATCTCATCCTTAAAATTAAAATCATTATTTCTTTCCCTTCCCCACCCCCATTTCTGCTCATTTGGTCAATGAGTAAATTGTGCTCAAGCACTTTCAAGTGACTTAATCACTGAAATATGACATTTTACTACAATCTATTGAACAAACACAAAATAGAAATCCTTCATCACCCAATATCTGAGCAGTCCAAGCTGCTTTTATGCTGATAGTGCTGAGGAAATAGAAAAATATTTCATATTTACAACACAGAAATGGGTACTACTGGTTTTAATAGGTCTTTCAAATTACAAACTAAATGGACTAAGGACTGTCTAAGAAATATTTTAGACAGTTTGAGCAAAACCAGAATCCCAGGAGGCCACATAATGCATTCTGTAGCTCTCCACCAGCATCAAGGAGATCCATTTAATTTTATTCCCACATTTCCTTGTCAGCGCAGACACAAATATACAGAGGTTATAAAACTCTTGTTGCACATTTGTCTTTATGTTAGAACTGAAATCAACTCTGCACTAATGAAATGGCTACACAGGACTTTTGGTAGGCAAATACCAAACACATTTTATAGAAAAAGTTTTAACAATGATGGTGCTTTTTTTTCCAGAAGATCAACACAAGACCAAGATCACAAATACACTCCAACTACTGCTTAATTATGGAAGCAGCTTTGTAGACAAATCAATTTGACAAAAATGCTCCCTTTTTCATTATCTTTTGCCAGCAACTTGAACTTTTCACTGACTTTTTCTAAATCATATGTAAAGATGAAGAATATTTTAAAAGCAATCGTTGGATGATTTGCTACCTGAGATCATAATGTTGTGAATTTTTCACCAGTCATATTTCAAGGGTTGGAATATAAGTAAGCAAGCAAAATGTAACAAATCTCAAGAGGAAAATGCTGGCACAGAAAAAGTAAAGTGTTGCAGGTGAGAGGGTTCTGAACAGCAAGAGGAAGAATTGCACCCATGAAACAGATTTTCAGCAAATTTCCCTCTGTGAATTGCAAGAGCTCATCAGAAATGATAAGGACAGTGGAAAATCAGTGGCCTGTGGAAAAAAAGAACATGAGAGAGGACAAAAATTGAAATAGCATAATAAAAAAATAATCAAGCCCAGCTTTGCTGTAAAATAACTTTTAAAACAGTGTATTATATGCCAGCAGTTCGCAGTGCCACTCTGGAAAGCCCATTGGCCACTTACCAGGGGCCACTTCCTTCCCAAGTGTCAGCACAGGCAGCTCTCACTGCTGCCATGGCCTGGGGAAGCGGTTTACTCGGGTCTCTCCAGAGAATCATGGAATCATTTACGTTGGAAAAGACATCTGGGATCATTGAGTCCGATCTCTGACCCATCACCACCTTGTCAACCAGACCATGTCACCAAGTGCCATAAGGAGCGGTTTCTTGATCACCTCCAAGGATGGGGACTCCACCACCTCTCTGGGTCTGTTCCAATGATTAATCACCCTTTAATGCAAAGGTATTCTTACTGCTGTCCACCCTGAGCCTGCCCTGGCCCAGCCTGAGGCCATTCCCTCTCCTCCTGTCCCTGTTCCTGGGAGCAGAGCCCGACCCCCCAGCTGTCCCCTCCTGTCAGGGAGTTGTGCAGAGCCAGAAATTCCCCCTGAGCCTCCTTTTCTCCAGGCTGAGCCCCTTTCCCAACTCTCTCAGCCGCTCTTCATCGGACTTGTCCTTTAGACCCTTCCCTTTCCCTGAACCCACTCCAGCACTTCTATGTCCTTCCTGAACTGAGGGACCCATAAAGACCCCAGCAGTGACCTGGATCCCAGCCTAACGTGGCTGCACCAAGAGCAGTAAAACCCCAAACCACATCCCCCGACTGTCCCTTAGAGCCACCCAGGCCAGCCCTCACCTTAACGTGGGGCCCATCCACCGCTTTGCTGGCCAGCCCCTCCATCAGGTCGGCCCTGAGCTCCACGAGGAAGCGCAGCCCGCCCTCCAGCCGGCCCAGGTGAGCGAAGAGCCCGCGGTACTGGGGGTTCAGGTAGTAACGGAGCCGGTCCTCGGCCTGCAGCAGCGCCCCGGGCTCCCTGCGCTGCTCGCGGGCCTGCAGCACCTTGGCGGCGGCCTCGGCCACCCGCCCGTGCTCCACGCCGAAGTCTCGGGCCAGGCGGGTGAGGAGCTCGGCGCGGGGCGGCCCGGGCTGCAGCGCGCGGTAGAACCGCACGAACTCCGCGCCGCGCAGCTCGGCGGGCGGCGGCGCCTTCTCCTTGGTCTCGTAGGGCGGCAGCGGCGGCACGGAGCGGCGCAGCAGCTCCTCCATGCCCGGGGAAGCGCCCGAGGAGAAGCGGCGCGGGCCCGGCGCGGCCCAGAGCAACGGGCGGGGGCCCAGGCGCGGGCACAGCCGCCTCATCCCGCACCCCGCCGCAGGCCGCGGCCCCGCCCGCCGCGCCGCTCCGCGAGCGCTGATTGGTTGCGGCCGAAGACTGACAGCGCGCTCCGCCAATGAAAAGTGAGGATAGCAGGGGGTGTGTGAGGGGTGTGTCAGCCGCCATGTTGAGCGTGCCGCTCAGCGGTCGCTGCCCCTCCTCACGGCCCGGAGCTCTCCCGGCACCGCCCTGCCCTCGAAATGCACCGTGCTGCACTTTGGAACCGCGGGGACACATCGGACACAGTGCCAGGCTGCGCCAGGGGACGGCCGGGTTCGACGCTAGGGGGAATTTCCTCACAGAAAGGGTGGCCAGACATCGGGCAGCCCAGGGAGGCGGTGGAGTCACCTCCCTGGAAGTGGCGCTTGGTTGAGAAGTTGATGTTCTGCACAAATTGAACTTGATGATCTCAGAGGTCTTTTCTAACCTAGTTGCTTTTGTGATTCCGTGAATCATCAAGAAGAGACCTTTAGGATCATCCAGTCCAAGTGTTCATCCAGCGCTGCCACTGTAACCCTGAACCACAGCAACAAATGCCAGATCCGGACACCTGAGCATCTCCAGGGATGGTGACTCCAGCACCTCCTGGGCAGCCTGTCCCAGTGCCTGACCTCCCAACCAGTGAATAATTTTTTTCCAAATACCTGATTTGAATCTCCCCTGTCTCACTTTACGTCCTTACTCTGTCCTCTGTGTCTTTCTCCCCTGTGGCTCCTGCTGGGCTGTGCTGGGTTTGTGGAACATCACTGAGCACCCAGGCTTGCACAACGCTGAAATAAAGAATTCATGTGTGTCTCAAATGTGGCATTACTGGCTTGGTGCACGCCAGGGAACAAATCTGATTTCCTGGGCAGCTTCCCCATGTCCTGAGGAGGCTGTGGCTCCTGGAATTCTGCTGATACTTTCAGGGACAGGAATCACAGCCCCAGGGAGTCCAGGCCAGCCCTGCAGCGGTTTTTGCTCTGAAACAACTGCAGGAAACAACACAAATTTGGATGTGCAATTTTGAGGTCACAGACCTGAGCATGGCCTGTTCTTTAGGCCCTGTAGCAAAAAAACTCATCATGAGCCCAAAGTCCTCTCAAGTGTGTCAGGACCTTTCGTGAATGAAGTTCAACATCTCCACCCTGCTCCCATCAGGCTTGCGAAGGTAACACTCCTCTGGACATTCAGGATTTGCCTCCTTTAGACATTAAACCAGCAAAACACATGGGTCATGTTGATGCCAGTGAGATCAGAATTGAGCAGCAATTGTCCTTAAAAGCACAGGGAACTGTGATTCTCAATGTTTGAAATAAGAATTGGGGAGAGAATCAAGCCCCCTTTGTCAGTGAAGAGACATAAAGAGAACACTGCCTAGTTACAAATTTTAGAGGAATATGCTAGAGATTCCTAAGGAATTTTGTCCCAAAAGAGAAAAAACTGTGAGCAGTATAGTCCTAGGAAACTGAGGGTTATATGATAAACTATTATACCCTTAAGGGAGTGAAAACATGACTCAGAAACATTAAAATACATAAAAAAGACTATTTTAAAACATTTGAATCTCACTGGTAATGAATTAAGCTCCAGAAATTCCCTTCCCACCTTTAGAACTTAATTTTCAGCTAAATAAAAAACCTTCAAAGTTGTTTGGTCAGTCTTTCTCCTTCACCTCCCCAGGAAAGGGGCTGCCAAAAGAGCCTCTGTCTATGTCAGATTCCCAGGGTAATTCCTTTGGAGACAGAGGAGTAGGTAAAAACTTCCACCAAAAATCATCATGATATTTCTATATGCACCCTTTATAGCAATTCTGCAGTTTTAAATAGGCATCCATTAGACAAGTACAACTTTTTCCATGTGAAAACTAAAATAAAACGGTTTTGGCCATGCTTCATAAAAAGAGGTGGATAGACTATTTCTTTTAGCTAAGTAGAGCTAGAAAATGAATTTTTCTTTCTGTATGTTTAATAATGATCTTAAATCTGCCGTGTTTGTTCGATGTATGATTCTACAATAAACTTCTTCACAATCTGATGCAGATTTGGTTGACATAGGCCCTAGAATTGTGCTAAAATGAGTCTAGTTAATCTTCCTATTCATTGAAATCCTTATGGACCCGCCCAGTTTCTGATTCAGAAATTCAAGAAGCCTGAGATAGAGATGTTAGCACAAGGGGAGAGTGGTGATGGACGATGAAGGCTCCAACCTGCCTGCAAATGGTCAGCATTTCTCAGGAGCAATTCCCTTTTAGAACCCTCTGTAGAAATTCTTCTGTTCTTTCCATTTTGACAGCACTCTCAGATTGTCCTTGGCTGGGATTCCTGCAAGAACAGAGCTCTCTTGCATGACCTACAGCCATAAAAAGCAGCTACAAGTGTTGTTCATCCCCAGAAACCTCTGTGGTGCAGCTTGTAAGACTTTGTCAAGTAAGACATTTCTTTTGAAACCTTCTACTGCTTCTTTTTTTATTTATTTTTTTTTCCCCTAGGGAAAACTTACTGTCTGCTTCAGCTGCTGCTCGGGAAATGAAAACACATCTCTGCCTGTCAGGACCTGAGGGCACCACGAGGCATCAGTGGCCCTGCCCTGCCTCACCTGGGACCTTCTCCATGGGTTCAGGAGCCCCATTTCAGCTCAGCCTGAGGGTTTGAGACCTTTCTGCACAGGGCTGCAGAGTTCTCTCGTCCCAAATTCCAGCCCCTCTTCCCTGGATCTGCCTTGCCACTGTGGATGTTTATTCTTGAAAACGTTTATTACTGAAAACTGAATGTTATTGTTAGAAAACTGGAGATTGAAAGAGCCTAATTGCACTTCAGTAATTGTAAAATTTTGTCTCTGAGCAAAAAGAAAAGCTAATAAAAGATAGAAAGTCAATTTGATCCAAGTCAATCTGATCCTCTTCCTTTTTTTTTTTTTCTCTTTAATCTGTTCAAATGTTAGGTAAAAATAAAATACATGCCCTGGATTCTGTGCTCAATAATTCCACTATAGCAAGGACAAACTGATTTATGATGGGAATGAAGGTAGTCCTGTGTCTTGGGGTTTGTTTTGTTTCTTTTCTGTATTTGCTCTTACATGCAGAGTGCCACATAAATGTATTTAGGACAAGAGTCTGACTGAGAAACTGACTGTGCTGTTATTCAAGAGAATAGCAGAGCTTCAGCTCACTTCAAAAGAAACAAGATGGAGTCAATGATTTCCAATAAATCTGTGTTTGTGCCTGCAAAGTGTTCATCCATGAGAGTTTTGTCAGGACACATCACTCCCCACCTATCCTTAAAGGTGGCTTATTCTTGTAATAACGCGGTTTATACACAAATTTCTTTTTGACTTCTCAAAATAAAGATTTTTTTTTTTAAATCTACTAGAAAATGTTAAAAATATCTGTGTGATCAACTAAAAACTGTCCTTTCCAGGCTGACAAGAGGAACTAACAACTCTTCCTCTATTTTCCTTTCACCACAGTGCTTGCAGTGGGAGAGCAGAGTGGGAAGCTGCTCTGAACACATTTGGTAATAGCTCAGAACAGAGTTTGTAAAATTACTTTAAATGAGCAAGTATCCCATTTTGAAGAGTTCATAAATCTCATAAGATACTGGAAAAAGCAAACTTGCTGTAGTTACTGAGTAAAAAGCAGGATCTTTTCAGCATTTTGCACTTCTCTTCAATTATTCAGCCCCTCCAAACAGGCAGCTCTGAGGGGGTTTTGTTCCAGCTCACCAAGCTGGGTGTTTAAAATGTGACAGCAACGTTCCACTGTCAGAGCTGCAGCCAGTGTTTAGCTTTAATCTTAATTTTAGATAAATACAACCTTGTTTTGTGGAATTACCTGGCTTTAAGCACAGGAGAGCCTACAGGATCAGCTCTGTGCTCACAGAGTAACACTATAGTTACACTTGTATGGATTTGGGTATCTGAGTACCAAACTAAACTCCCTTCCAGGCTGCAGAAACAGGAAGCAGAAGGCTGGCTGTAAGAGTGTCTCCCTGGAAGTTGTCTCCCTGTTCTCCAGCTTGCAGTAAAAGTCAGATTTTTAAACACCCTGGAACAGAGAGTGAGGAGGAAGAGGAGCAGAGGACACCAAGAAGAGGAAGCTGCAGGATTCAAATATGGAGGGGATCTCACTGAGGCTGATGAGGAATTCAACAAAACATTTGGGGAAGGACGTAACTTCTCATCTGTTGTGGGGCTGAACTCCCTGGGGCTGTGCCTCAGACTGTGAATAACACAGAACCCCACAGAACTTTCCACTTTTCATTGCTCTCTTTTTTACCTTCTCCATCATAAAGGGGTGGATGAATAGCTCATCACAGCACGGGGCAGTGCTTAGGGAAGTGACTGAGCTGAAGCAGGACAATCCAGGTGTTTTATTGAAGTCAAAGCCTGATTTCATCTAATTACATCACAAGTTAGATTGTTGGATTGTTCAGGAGTGACCTTGGCACTGCACTGGATAACCAATCTCTCTGTGCTCAGAGGAGTTTTGCAGCCCACTCCAACTCAACTCCTGGCAAAGGAGGAGGAGTTCAGGTTTCAACTTGCTTATTTACTGGGTAAATGTTTCTTTTACCATTAGTGTTTAAGCCTACAGGGATGAGTATAGGCTGCCTGTTATAATCCTATGCAAATTTATTTACTCTCCTGTATGCTAAAAGCATTCATTAGTTTTAATAAACACAAAGATTGGGAAACTGAGAGCTGTAATAATTGCTTTACACAGCATGCAACTTAATAATCAGGAAACAAACTCCTTTAAAGTCTCTTGTGTTTATACTACTGGCAATGAAAGTACTGCTTTTACACTGTTGTCTTCAACAGACCTGATTTTTAGTGTTGCTGGAGTTTCCTCGAGGCAATTACTTTGGAAAATTATCTGTTGTGGTGCCTGGACTCAGTTTAATTGCTGAACACTGCC